TAACCTGGAAGCCTTGGATCATGAATGGGCTTCAGGGTGGCTCATGTGACAGAGTCCAAAATATGTTAATTTAAAGCAGGGTCCTAACTAGTCATTGCCATTAAAGACATTATTGAACATTAATCTCAGTCCAGTTGTTTTATTATATTAAGACTGGACTATCTCCAGGACTTCTGAGAAATGGCAAACTTAATTTGCCAAAATGGCAACGGCATGCATTGCTCTGTTCCAGTTTTCTTGGGCTTGTTGCCCTACTTTTCTATTCAAGCCTTCTCTGTTAGCAGAATTTTAAATGACTCTTTATCCTGGCCAGAGAATCATTTTGAGTAAACAACTTGGATAATGTATGGTGTCCTCATTTGGAAGAGGTTAAGACTCAGGATTTTATGGTGAGTTTGAAGTATTTTCTTGAGCCATTTTTAGAGCTTTCAGAACTCAAGAAAAGACTTGAAAAAGGCCCCTGAAAACTTTTCACTAGACCTTTATGAGAGATAGGTATCTAACCTGGAAGCTATGGATCCAGGCCCATCATGAATGGACTTTGGGTGTAGTACTTTAATATACATTGTTTTAAGCAGGCGGTTGTTTATTTTCCTTTCTTATGAGGAAGTCTGAGACAGGCAGGCTAGGAGGCATGGCAGCTCCATAGATGTGAGGACCCAGGCTATTTCCTCCTTGTCCTTTGCTCCAACGTTCTAGCTCCTGTCCATCCTCATCCCTAGAGTCTAGCAGCAGCAGGAGGGCCATGGTCACTGCCAGCTTTCTTTTGATGAGGTGCTGGCGCTGCCATGCACCGTGTCTGAGCTCATGTTCCATAGGTTCAAACTTGGTCAGGTAGCCAGCCACAGTGTGCTGTAGGAGAGGTGGGGGCTTTCCTTTGGTGCCCACATGGCCCTATAAATTAGGGCTCTTACACTGGTATTGGAAAAGCCTATGAAATTTCGTGGAGTTTTGTCTATGCAAATTTCCAGGGAAAAGTTTCATGGTTTGTTTTTAATTAATTTCTAAAGCAGACTGAGATTCTAAAATGTTTTAAATCTATCAAGTCAAAGATCAGTTGAGTGGTATCTAACCGAGGACTAACACCTTCATTACAGAGTTCAGTGTATCCCTTTAATAATCTTTGCTTTGGTTTTTAATTTGGGAAAAAAGAAGACTGAGATTATGGCATGAGTAGCTTTGATCTTCAAACTGACCCCCCAGTTAACCACCAGTGACTTAGAGGTCATCTTCAGAGGATACACATTTAGCACAACACCTTATTTCCTTATCCTGACAGGTTCTCTGGAGCAGTTGCTGAGGATGAAGGTGGAAGAAACTCCCAGTGTTCAGCACAGGCACCAGGTTCAGAGAATATTACTGGATATAACTGAGGTTGGAATTGAGAATGTCCCCCACAGTTTATGCCTAAATATTTAGTTGTATTATGCCTAAATATTTAGTTGTTCAGACATCTTTAAAAAGTGTGTAGTTTTTTTTTTTAATTTTGAAAAGGCGATAAATGCATTTTATAAAAAATGCAAATAGTATAAAATAGTGAAAAGCAAAATATAATTTTCTTTTTACCCTTTATGTTCTGGGGAAATTCTGTGCATATGTTTCTAGCATATTTTTTTAAAAGTATGTTGTGTGCATTCTGCCCCACTTATATTCATGTAATACTGCATCTTGGAAGTTGTTCTTAGATATATTTGCCTCCTTTTACATTTATTTGAAATTCCATTGTTTGGCTGTCCCATATATTTTGTTCTTGTTGATGTTGTACATTTAGGTTGCATCCATTTTGCTGCTAAAAGCAATGCCTTGGTTGTGTTTTTTTGTTTGTTTGTTTTTTGGTATGTAGATCTTTGTATAGATTTATGAATCTATGTGCTGGAAGGATTCCTGAAAAGGGAATGGCATGGTCAGGGCTGTGTCCAGTGCATTTTGATAGCTATCTTGCTTGTTCTCCGGGGTTATACTCTCACTACCAGAAGTGCAGGAGAGCAATTTTTCCTATTTCCTGATACTCTTCCAGTATAGTGTGTATCACATTGAGTGTTGCTTTTGTTGTTTTTTTCCTTAATCTTCTGTTATACATATACTGTATCTTCTTTGTCACTATGCTACTTTTTCTTGAACTTTTTGTTTCTTTTATTTAAAAAAATTTCCTCTTGTTTTTCTGAAGGCATAATTTATTGTTTATTTGCTCCCGGATTCCTTCTAATTTTCATTTCCAAAACTTTTTTTGCTTTTGTTTCTAACCTTTTCTGAGTTCTACCACTTCATTTTTGAGCTTTTCTCATGATGGTTTATAGTTAATAGTACCATATCATTTCCTTCATGTATTTTAACTTGTTTTGAAATATTAGATAAGTATTTTTCATCTTTTTTGGTAACATGTCTTTCTAGCCTTTTTTCACTGACTGTAGTGATGTTATTTTCCTTCTTTTTTTTTCCAGAGAGGCAGGGAGAGGGGGAGAGAGATAGAAACATCAATGGTGAGAGAAGAAACATTGATCGGCTGCCTCCTCCATGCTCCCCACAACCCGGGTGTGTGCCCTGATCAGGAATCAAACAGTGACCTCCTGGTTCATAGGTCAATGCTCAATCACTGAGCCCACACTATATTGCTTCTTATTCTCTTTAAAAATACAGTATCTTTTCTTCAATTGGACCTCAATTTTTTTTGTTTATTTTGATGTGTAATTAATTTTCCTAACTATTTAGAAGGGAGGCTTGATTTAGAATAGTTTTTCTAATTTCAGTGTTGTAAGCTCTTATTTTACATGTTTTTTAGGAAGTTTTTTTAAAAAAATGTAGCAATTCATTTTCTGAACTCTCCTGGCTCTGTTTTTCTCTCCCACCTTTAATTAGACTTTGATTTGTCTCTGTCCTGTATATCTTGTATTCTTGTATTCTGTTTTCAGTCTTTTTGTTTCAGTGTGTTTGGCATACAGGGAGCTTTGGGTGATTATTTTTAAGAGTTCATGGGCCCCAGAATGTTCTAGGTCTTCTGGACTTCATTGCAGACCTCTTGCATTTGTCTCCTGTGGGATTGTGCTCATTTCCTGGTTTCAGTTGCTGTTCTCAAGTTGACACATTACTTCTCTCTGCTCCCTGTTTCTACCATGATGATTTTGTCGCTGTCAGTGGTGTGTCCCTACTTGCTTGCATTTTGGGGTTTGTTTGGAAGACCTTATCACTCAGTTCTGTTATGGACATTGACCTGGTTTTGCTATCCTAGCTGCTCCATGTGTTTTTATGGGGGGATTTGAGGAGACTAACAATCTTTTAGTAAAGGACTTAAAGTTCCTTTGAGAACTTTTGTTTCTTATCTAGATTGGTTATAAGTCTTTCTTTTCTTTCTTTCTTTTTTTTTTTTTTTTTTGTTAAGGACTCTTGATGTTTTCTCATCTCATTCAGTCTTGTATGAAGTGATCATACATTTGATTAGATGTTTATAAAGGAAGAGCTACCATTTAATCTGTAGAATTTAAGTCTGGACAAAAGAGAAGAGGAATCATGTTGTTTATAAGATTTAAGAACACATGTGAAACTTGCAAATTAATTTAATGTTCGTTGGAACGTGTCTTTAAAAGTTGTTGGTCAGGAGATTTCAGCTTGAAAGTAGATGATCTGAAAATTGTAAGTTATCTCTCTGCGGCCCCACAGGAATTATGTAGGGATGGTAAGTACTTACTGATGAAAGGAGCTGTGCATCACCCAGGTATAGAGTTGAGTGCATGGTTTCTGACCTCAGGGAGCATGTAGTTGAGGTGGGAAAATAAATAATTTCTTTTATAAGTATTTACTTATAAATACATAATATAAAGTGTAATAAGATAAAAATATTACAGTGACACTGATTCCTGAGTTCTTCAGAATATCCTCTTTTTCAAGTACTAAATTTGGATATCTGATTGAGAGGTCATATTTAAAATGATATGGCCTCATTTTTGTTTTGGAAAAGAAGGTCTCTCGAGGCCTAATCAAAGTGTTTCAGGATCAGGAAGAAAGTAACTATTCCAGACACAATGCTAGCTCAGGGATGACAGTTCACACCAGAGGTGGCCCTGCCCCAGAAGATGCCCTGTGGATAAGATGGCAGTGCTCTTGGGCATAGCAGGGGGCTGTGTTGCAGCTCATGTCTGTGCTGGAAGCCAAGGGGAAGCAAAATAGAGGAGCTCAGAGAGAGGGTGGAGTTGAGTAGGAGAAACCGAGTATGGGGTTAGCCTTGGCTGAAAGGTCCATTAGGTAAACTTCGGGAGGTGAGAGTTTTATTACTGGTGGAGACAACAGTGCAATGGCTTTTTGGGGTGTGGTGTGAGCTGATACCCAATGGGGAGCAGGTGGATGATAGGATGTATTCTGTGGGCAGTAGGGAACCATTGGAGACTTTTGGCTTGGGGATGACATGTTTAAGCCATTTTAGGAAGGTGACTTTGGAGATGGTGTGAGGAATGGGTTGATAAAGTGAGAGGCTCTCAGGTAGGGCTAGACAGAAGCAATGAGAATTTTTTTGAGCTATTTCTCAATTCTCCAAAAGTGCTAACCATTTGGTGTTTTGGGGCAAGAAGAACCCTATATTAAAAACAAGATTTGTGAACACCTGATTTCTCTTTTTATTTTTATTTTAATTATCCTCACCTGAGGATATATTATTGATTTTAGAGAGAGTGAGAGAAAGGAAGAGAGGTGGGAGAGAAAGAGAAAGAAACATCAACGTGAGAGTGAAACATTGACATGTCTCAGGGATAGAATCCACAACCTAGGTATGTGACCTAATTGGGAATCTTAACCCACAGCCTTTTGGTGCACAGGATGATGCTCCAACCAACTGACCCACCTGGCCAGAGCCTGTTGTGCTCTTGAATATGTATGGTTAGCAGTTTTCATTTCACAGGTCACAATCATTAATCTCCCTCTCTGCTCTTGTGTTTGTTTTGTAGGTGACAGAATCCTAGTCCTGTGTGAGTTTGATTCTTGCTTGTTGACTGGCCCCTCTTCTCTTTTTCTGGATGATGTCAGAACAGGATCTGGCGGACGTGGTGCAGATTGCAGTAGAAGACCTGAGTCACCATCACCCAGGTATAGAGTTTTGTGAGAGCAGATGGACTTTGTTCTCTCTATTTATTATTATTATTATTATTATTTTTAAAATACATTTTATTGATTTTTTACAGAGAGGAAGGGAGTGGGATAGAAAATTAGAAACATCGATGAGAGAGTAACATTGATCAGCTGCCTCCTGCACACCCCCTACTGGGGATGTGCCTGCAACCCAGGTACATGCCCTTGACCAGAATCGAACCCTGGACCCTTGAGTCCTCAGGCTGACACTCTATCCATTGAGCCAAACCGGTTTCGGCATTCTCTATTTTTTAAAAATCCAAAAGTGCGCTCAGCTGGTGTGGCTCATTGGTTGAACGTCTACCCATACACCAAGAGATCACATTTTTTTTTTTTTTTTTTAAATATATTTTATTGATTTTTTTTATAGAGAGGAAGAGAGAGGGATAGGGAGTTAGAAACATCGATGATGAAAGAGAATCATTGATCAGCTGCCTCTTGCACACCCCCTACTAGGGATGTGCCCGCAACCAAGGTACATGCCCTTGACCAGAATTGAACCCGGGACCTTTCAGTCCGCAGGCTGACGCTCTATCCACTGAGTTAAACCGGTTTTGGCACTGAGCTAAACCAGTTTCAGCAAGATTACCTTTTATAGGTGTCCTCTCATTTATTGAATTTTCCTCTTGTTGGTGGCATTTATATTTTTTGCACTGTTTCTATTTCATATAAATCCCTGCAGTAAAGATCCCTGCAATTATATCTTGCAAAATCATTTTATTCCATGGTAAATTCTCAGCAGAATTGCTTTGTATGTTTACAATTTTGATTAGGCACTGACAGATTTCCCAGAAATGTTTTACTGTGTTACTATTCCATCAGCTGAGTGAGAACAATTATTTTCCTACACTACACTTGGTAATTTTTCATATTGATGTTAAAAGCATACATCTACTTTGAAACCTTAGTTAAATATTTGTTTAACTAAGAAGGCCTCATAAAAGAAACCCTAAATTTCAAGAACTTCACTTACAAAAAAACTTTGTCTACAATTTTATTTTGTAAAAGGATTTCTCAGTAAGTTTTCTCTATTTTTTTGCCCTAAAGTTTTCATTGTTTTATATATAGTCATAAGTGCACATAATTAAGTCACTGAATGTCTGTAGCATGTTTTTTCCTTTTAGAATAATGGAATTAAAATACTGAATTATTTTTTCTGTATAAAAGAGAATTTTCAGAAAGCATGATGTCTATCCTATGATCTATTTAATATGTTAATTGGGAAGTATTTCATTTGGAAATTAGTTATTATACAGAAGGGGAGAGTAATATAAATAATTTTGGAATTAAATGAGTGGTCATAAAGAAATGAAGTGCTTCATTTCAGGAATACTGTTCGTTAGTCAGTTTCCCCCTTATTTTGCTTCTGATTTTTTCTTCACAGATAGGATTCTGTTTTATTTGTCACCATTGAAAGTCTAAATTTTAAACAGATTCTTGGACGTGGGGCACCTATACATTAGTTTGTTCAACTTTAGCCCCTGTCTTATTTCTAGTAGTGTTATTGGAGCTGTGACTTTCACCACAAAGCTCCATGAGTTTTCCCAGTTCAAACTTGGGCTTCTTCAACATTTTTACTTTTTTAACAAAGACTTCGTGGAGTAGATAAATAGGTTGGCAAACCTTTCTTCTAACTTTTCCAATGCTGTCTGGAATAAACTTATTGATCACTTTTATGGAGTCAGTTGTATCTCTTAGGTCATGATTTTCATCATCTTTTTCTGGATTTGGTGGGCCTTTTGATGCTGAACACAAGTCTTCCGAATCTGATTGTTGTCATTTTTAGTAAAACCAACATAGAATAGATGAAGCAAATAACCATTGTTAGTTATTTTTTAAAAAAAAATATGTTTTATTGATTTTTTACAGAGAGAAAGGGAGAGAGATAGAGTTAGAAACATTGATCAGCTACCTCTTGCACATTTCTTCCTGGGGATGTGCCAGCAACCAAGGTACATGCCCTTGACTGGAATCGAACCTGGGACCCTTCAGTTCACTGACCAAGACTCTATCCATTGAGCCAAACTGGTCAGGGCCCAATGGCAGTTTTGACATCAACATGAGTCATGCTCTTTAATTTTGTCATGGGTAAGATCCATGCTGTGGAGATCAGATGGTTTTGCCCTGTACATTTAGTAATCAGCTTGAATTTTCTAGCTGCAATGTTATCATTCTGTAGATCAGTTTGGTTCACTTCAAAACCATGACCCTAGTGACCATCAGATGTGATTTTGGTTCCTTGACGAGTGTTTTTGTGATTTTTCTTATATTGTAAACAGCTGGTGCTTTCATATCACACTGATCTTTCTTAGATAAGAGATCAACCCATTTTCTTGGCTCCTTTATAGCCGTGTAGTGACCTGTGCACTTGGCTTCCCCTGTGTTTACCCCTAACACCTTTTGTTTAATTATTGCCAACTACCATGGTGCTGCTCAGAGAGCCAAAAGCTGCTTCTGATTTTTTTAGTAAGAAGCATTATCCCCTATTAATTGGCAAAATCAAGAGCCTCATCAGATCATGGAACAAAGTTGGGGATATGAGTGCAGCTTTTCAACTACAATTTTCTCTGTAAAAACTAACCAGTTTATTTGAGCTAGAACTTGTAGCTCTGACCTCTTTAGCACCACACCTTAGATACCTTTGAACTTAAAAAGAAGTAGCACTACCACTGTATATAGCAATTTAAAAAATATCCGTGTTTATATTTTGGGAGGCGAACAACAATTTCTTTAGAAACCACACACTGCAGTGTTATAAAAGAGAAATGTTCCATTCACATACAATTTAAGCATTTTTAGAACTATTAAAATTTTGATAGCTGACTTCCTACATAAATTCCCTCCTTGTAGATTATAGTCCAAGGAAGGCATAGAGAAGTCATTTCTAATCTTGTTTTGTTCCTTCTCTGTTCCTTAAATAACTGGGAATTATAGTTTATTGACTGTTTAATGAGAACCTGTATGCAAGGCTCTCTGAGGCCTTTATGGGCAGAAAGCCTGCAATTTCTGACTCAAAAGAACTTGCACACACCCAGCAAATACCATGGTGCATTACACATGTTTGTATTCAGAATAGGTTTAAGATTGAGATTATTTTTCCATCATCTCTAAAATATGACCTTTATGAAATTTAGAAGTATAGTCAAGCAAGTAGAATAAACAAAAATTTCCCATAATCCTAATAGAAGAACTGCTTTTAAAATGTTGGCATGTAAGTCCTAATTTCCATTTAAAAATAAATGTTTCGGTTTTGGTTTGCATTTGCTCACCATACAGCTGCACTTACTTCACTTGTCTGCATGTAACTTTCTTCAAACCTATCATTGCAGGTGGTTGTGCTGGCTCTAAAATGAGTATTAAGACCTGGGTGGTTTTACTTAGTATCTTTACACTTTCCTTAGAGCATCGGCCTTCGGACTGAAGGGTCTTAGGTTCGATTCTGCTCAAGGATATGTACGTTGATTGCAGGCTCCATCCCTGGTCCTGATTTGAGGTCATGTGGAGGCAACCAATCGACATGTCTCTCACATTGATGTTTCTTTCTGTCTCTCTGCCTCCCTTCCACTCTTTCTAAAAGTCAATGTAAAAAATATCCTCAGTGAGGATTAACAAATAAAAAGGAGTATTGAGTTCTTTAATATAAATCTAAAAGCAATGCATACAAAATTATAACAAGAATGCAAGAAAGGACAAAGAAGAAAAGAAACTGTAGTCCTGCAGCCAATGGGAAATTATTGGTGAATCCTGGTGCTGGTGCCTGTGCCGTCTGCCACGGACACATCTCCTTTTACGCATCTGCTTCATTACTCTTTGCTTCTAGCCTGAGGTGCTTCACGCTGCCAGGGGGCATGGAGTCTAATTTCTGTGGTTACAGGAACAAGCTATGTGGCTCTGGACAAGTCACTTAACCTTTCTGGACTTGTTTTCTATTCAGCAAATTAAAAGGATTAAAGTGATTGCCAAGGTTTCTCTCTGTCCTCCCAGTCCTGGTATAATTACCAGTTTTCTTAGAGGTGACAAAAATTTATTTGTTTGTTTGTGTGTTTTGGTAACCACAAACACTTGTAGATGAGGATTTCCCCCCTTTGTACTTAATTAAATGAACACTCATTTTTATCTATTTTTGTGGAGGTGGTCAAAGCATTTCCTGCCCTACAGAATCCACTGAGCAATGATCTTAGGTAGGCAAGATGCCTTTTTTTTTTTTTTTTTTTTTTTTTTAAATCTTTATTGTTCATATTATTACAAATGTTCCTCATTTTTCCCCCCTCCATTGCTCCCCTCCACCAGAATCCCACCCCACCCTTTCTCCCACCTCCATTGCCCTCATCCATAGGTGCACAGTTTATGTTCAGTCTCTTCTCGAACCCCCCCACTCCCCTTTTCCCTGAGAATTGTCAGTTCACTCCCCTTTCATACCTCTGATTCTATTATATTCACCAATTAATATTGTTCATCATATTTTTTAATCCCCTTGGTTTTTAGATTCACTTGTTGATAGTTACATATTTGTTGTTCATAATTTTTATCTTTATTTTTTTCCTCTTCCTAAAGAACCCCCTTCAGCAATTCATATAATTCTGGTTTGGCGGTGATAAACTCCTTTAGCTTTTTTTTATTTGTGAAGCTCTTTATCTGGCCTTTGATTCTGAGTGATAGCTATGCTGGGTAGAGTATTTTTGGCTGTAGATTCTTGCTATTCATCACCTTGAATATTTCTTGCCATTCCCGTCTGGCCTGCATGGTTTCTGTTGAGAAATCAGCTGACAATTTTAGGGGTGCTCTTTATAGGTAACTACCTGCTTTTCTCTTGCTGCTTTTAGTAATATTCTCTCTTTGTCTTTTGCTCTTGGAATTTTAATCATGATGTGTCTTGGTGTGGTCCTCTTTGGATTCCTTTTGTTTGGGGTTCTGTGCGCTTCCTGGACTTGTAAGTCTAATTCTTTCACCAGGTGGGGGAAGTTTTCTGTCACTATTTCTTCTAATATGTTTTCGGTATCTTTCTCTCTCTCTTCTTCTGGACCCCCATAATTCTGTTGGTTCGCTTGAAGTTGTCCCAGAGGTTTCTTACATTATCTTCAACTTTCTGGATTCTCTTGTCTTCTTGATTCTGCAGAGGAGTGTCTTCTGGCTCTTTTTGTTCCAGATCTTTGACTTGATTCTTGCGATCTTCCATTCTGTTTTTAGGACTCCGTATGATATTTTTTATTTCAGACAATGTATTCTTTATTTCTAGCTGATCCCTTTTTATTTCTAGTTGATCCCTTTTCATATCCTCATAGGTCTTGTTTATTTTATTGGACTTTTCTAGGAAATTCTTGAAAAACCTTATAATCGTGGTTTTGAACTCTATATCCAGTCGCTTTTTGTCCTCCATTTCTTTTGTTTGTGATCTGTTTCCTTGTCTTGGCATTTTCACAGCTTCCCTGGATTGGTAAGGTGGCTTTGTGTGCTAAGGTGTCCTATATGGTTCAGTGGGTCAGCCTCCTAGTTATCTGTGGTGGACACTCTTGGTGCACCCCTTTGTGGATTATGTGTACGGCCTTGTTGTAGTTAAGTCTTGCTTGTTGTTGGTATCACTGGGAGGAACTGACCTCCAGGCCAATTGGCTGTGAGGATCAGCTGTGTCTATGCCAGGAGACAGTCTTATTCAACTAGACTTGGAAAATTGCAAAAGCCTCTGTGCTCAGCTTGGATGGGGTGGAGTTTCAGGGTGGAGCCTACAGCCTTGGCTTCCTGTCAGCCCTGTCCTATGAGGTTCCTGAGTCTCAGTGTTCCTCAGTGATCTTCAGTACTCGTTGCAAACACTTCTGAGAGAAAGGTGCCCTCAAGTTTCACCTGCTACCAGACAGTCTAGTCTCTCCCCCAATGAGCCAGGAACTGGAGTTCAGTGCAGTTGGAAGTGGGGTTGGAAGTGAGGTTCAGTGCAGTCCGGAGCTTTTGTCTCCTTTCCATTAGAGCAGTCCAGCGGCACAGACAACAGTCCATCCTCTGCGCGCAACGTGTGCTCCTCTGCCTTTCGCTGCTCCCCTGAATTTCTGGCTTACAGCCCAGATTCCCTCCGTATGAGCCTGGGTCCCCAGGGTCAGGCCTAGAACTGGGGTTCAGTGCAGTCGGAACTGGGGTTCAGCATAGTCTGGAGCTTTTATCTCTTTCCCGCTAGAGAACGCCAGCCAGGCACTCAGCTGCGTCCCCCTCTCTGACTTCGTCCTCTCCCTGTGCACGCACTGTGTCTCCATACCTTAGGCCTTTACAGCTCCTTTGATTTTCCTTCTGGTTTTCTCTTTCCTTCTAGTTGTAGAATTTCCAGTCAGTCAACTTTCCTGTAGTTCTCGATAATGTCCATTTTGTATTTTAGTTGTATTTTTTGAAGTTGTTATATGAGGCTGCAGTTAGGTGTTTACCTATGCCGCCATCTTGGTTGGTCCTCCCCCCCCCAAGATGCCTTTTGTTATTGTCAGTCCTCGGCTGGTTCCTGCAGAGGAGCTTTGTGTAATCATCTCTGGGAGATCACTTTACTACACCTGCCTAGGAACCATGAAAGGTTTGTGTTTGAGTCATGGGACTATGCAGTATCTTTATACTTAAGAGTTTTGAGATGAATTATTGAGTATGTGTAAGTTTAAAGGCATTAACAACTCTTTTTTTTTTTTTAAATTGAGATCTTATTTGGAATCTCAAGATAGCCTGTTGAAGTGGCAGAGCTTTGATTGAGGTGGGGCCTGTGCACTTGGCCTCCCTTGTGCTTTTCCTGACCCTCCCTGAGCAGAATAGAGATCTAATGCTAGCCAGATGCGCTGTGTCCAGCTTTTTGTGAGGTGCTAGGGGGTTCTTCTTTTTATAGTTACTGTGACATAGCATGAGCCGGTAATACCCTGTTTCCACGAAAATAAGACAGTGTCTTTTATTAATTTTTTCTCCAAAAGTTGCGCTAGGTCTTATTTTCAGGGGATGTCTTATCTTTCTATGTGCTAGGTCTTATTTTCAGGGAAACACGGTAGTTCTAATACCCGTGTGGGTCTGGTGGAAGAGGGATAGATTTCCTTGAGTGGAGGTGGTTGAGCACAAAGAAGATTTGAGGGGGAAGACCTGAGACTGTTAGACAACATTGTCTAGGTGAGGCAGGCATCTTCTGTCCACAGTGAGTTTATCCTGCTTAATTGTAGCATGGGATGCATTTGAAAGGAGGTCTAATATAATAATAGCCAAAGTGGTCAGGCTCCATAGTTTATTCTCCATGGGTGGGTACTCCCACAAGTGCTACAATAAATGCACTTTTGTGTATATATACACGATATTATAATATACATGTTCTGTTTGTATATATATGTAATGTATATTCTCATATACTGGTACACATTTCTGTAGAATAGATTCACAAACTGATATTACTATTAAAAGGTGAGTTTTAAAGCCATTAACTGGGAGGCTGTCCACATTCTATTGCTAAATGAAGACAAACGATGCAGACAGATCTACTGATATAAGATGGCCTTGGCCCTCTGGTGTATATGTAATGTGTTTGTCTCCATGTGTGAACTTGTAGAAAGAGATGAGGAGAAATATATCAGGCAATTACTATTGGTAATTAAGGCAAGGAGAGGAGAAGGAAAAAATGCTGTAGCAAAATGGAAAAGTACTCATGGTATCACGTTCAATAGAAAATGACTATGATATTCTATCTATAATTGTTAATATGTAAATGTTTAGTGATTGACTAGATCTAGAGCAAACAATCAGGAACAGAGAAATATGGTTTGCAGAAATAATGTGATTGTGGATGGTTGTGGTCTTTGATTCTTTGACTATCTTTAATATTGTTTTTGTAGCTAATTTCCAATGAAAGGAAGGTGGTTGGGACCTGACCGTATTGTGGCAGGCCTTGAATGTGAGCTGAGTTGCTTATTTGTGGGGAAGCCATGCATATCAGCTGAACATTGTGGTGGGGAGGCATTGATTTTAGCTGCACTGTGAAGTAGCTTTCCATGTAACTTCGTATGTTAAGTTTGGGATGATCAACACCTAAGGAGATGTAATAGCCCAGATAGGTTTTAAATTTGAAGTGAGTTAGCCAACAGACATGACTTTAAAATTGGGAAAATATCACTATTATTGATTTGGTTTTATTATGCTGAAATTCAAATAGGGTAGCTGAACAGAATACTAAATGAGAATCCTATAGTTTTGAAGTTAGGGAAATTACTTATCCAGTATCTCAGTTTTTCTTGAGATTAAGGAGAGATCCTATTTTTTCTCTGAGAGTTAACTTAGAACTATGAAAAGGTAAAATATGAAACAGGTTGTACCATTTCTCATTTTAACTTTAGGGTGTCAGAATGGTTCACTGTTTTAATATTAAAATAGTCTGTAAAACTTTATATTAAATTTAGGTATTTTGTTTCTGCTTTGGTTTTCAGTTGTATTGGAGAATCATGTAGTGACAGATGAAGATGAACCAGCTTTGAAACGCCAGCGATTAGAAATCAATTGCCAGGACCCCTCTATAAAGGTAAAAATACAAATATATTTTATTATTTAGTTTCCTAAGGCTGCCATAACAAATTGTAAAAACTGCAGAACCTAAAACAACAGGAATTGATCCTCTCACAGCTTTGGAGACCAGAAATCTGAACGCGATGTGTGGGCAGGGCTGTGCTTCCTCCAGAGACTAAGGCAGGATTTTTCCTGCCTCTTCTGGCTTCTGGTGGCTTCAGATAATCCTTGGCTTGTGGCAGCATCACTCCAATCTCTGCCTCCATCCTCACACTGCCTCTTCCCTATATGTCAGTATGTTTCACTTTCTATTTTCTTCTAAGGGAATTATTATTGAATTTAGGGATCACCCTAATTGAGGGAGATCTCAACTCCTTGACTTAATTACATTTAGAGAGACCCTTTTCCAAATAAGACCACATTTATAAATTCTTGGGGTTAGGATATAGATGTATTGTTTTTAGGAGTCATCATTCAATCCCCTTAAAGGTTATGAAGAATCAACATTGTTTAGAATGAGATGCTGCCACATGAGGCATCTTCCTCTACAACCACAGACCTGTTATGGACAGAAGGAAAGAGAACAATTTGTGTGGCTAATATTTCCCACTAGTGCTGAAGTACTTCTGTACCTACCATGTAAGTCTCCTAAATTTCAAAGTTTATTAGAGGTGGATTGGGAAACCACTGAGTCAGTCAGTCAGTGATTTTGGATCTTTGGATTTACTTTTTTGGTTTAGTGTTTTCAGCGTCATTTAGATAAATATCATTACATGTGAGTAGTTTCAGCAATGCAAATGAAAACTATAGTGGCTTTTCATGTAATCCCTCTATTTAGAGATATTTATATTCCCCCCCAAACATAACACTTTTGTTAAAAAGGGGAAGTAGTGTAAGCTTAAACATGAAGGTGATTTAAAAGTATATTCATCCTAACTGGCATGGCTCAACCTATGAACCAGGAGGTTATGATTTGATTCCCATGCAGGGCACATACCTCGGTTTCAGGCTGGATCCTCAGTGGGGGGCATGCAGGATGCAGTCGATTGATGATTCTCAATCATTGATGTTTCTATCTCTTTCTCCCTCTTCCTTTCTCTCTAAAAGTATTATTTAAATAACATATAGTCACACTTAAATTTCTGTTTCTGACTAATGGTTAGAAGGTAGCTGATTAGTAACATCAAATTTTATTTTAAAATAAAATGTAGTTATAATTTTACCACCAGAGATACTCATAAACATAAACAGTACAGAAATGTATAAAGTAAAAAATGAAAGTGGGCTGGCCTCAACCCTAGTTCCACTGTCAAGAAGTTAAACCTTGGGCTTTGGTTTAAAAACTGCCACATTTGTGAGCTGTTTGGAAAAGTTTGCTCACCAAATTGCCAAGAACTCTTCTCTCTAATGAATAGATTTGAATTGCAAATGGCTAATATCACTTATATATAAAGACATTAAACATATTATTCTGTGCTCTTTGTATCATGAATTTGTTTGATAATTGTTTTATTATCAAACAGTGAATTGTGCCCAAACCTCAGGTAGAATCATTTGTAATTTAGAGTTAAAATAATAAGGTTTTACTGTATCTTAAGAATTCTGGAGCCCAGTGTTTGATGCCTAGAGTGGAGTTTTAAGTGATTTTATCTCAAGAATTCAGCGACCAATGGGTAGTTCTAATGGTGATTTACATTAGCGTGAACCATGGAAGTTACCTCTCTATAGATCATGGGTGATGGAATGTGTGCACTGTGTGTGCCTCTGGCCCCTGTCACACACTTGCTCCAACGACCTGTTCTCCTGAAGGCAGGCAGTCATTGGGGGACGTGGAGGTTAGCCCTTGCTTTATATGTTAGCACTCATGATGAGTCTCATGGGGAGGAGGGAGGGTGATTGCTTGAGACAAAGTGAGTTGTTTGGACAGTGTGCAAGTTTTGTTTACTGCATTGCTGTCCCTTACTGTCACATTTACCAGGCAGTTAGACAAATGCATTTAACTTTTAAACAAGATAACCTCAGTCTGTTGAAAAATGTACTGAATAAGAATATCCATATTTTTCTTCTCCCAGACCTCGATGCCAGCTACATGATGTGATATTGCTCTAATTTTGCATTTTTGTTTCACACTAGAATGGCAGCAGGCCCTAGGAAGGCTGTAGGCCAGCAGCAGTTAGATGGCATGCCTGTCAGTCAAATGGAGGCTGGCCTTTTACATGGGCAGAAAAGCAGAGAGAAAGAGGAAAGGCAGAGTCTGCATTATTTTCAGCTGTTGGTTCTCAAGCCAGCCTTTCTACTAAATTGAACTATTGGATACTTTATGAACTTGCTTCTAACCAGCACTCTGAATCTTTCTATTAGTTGGTGAGAAAAGTTTTGGGTGATTGCTGCACAGTGGCAGTCTTACCTGAAAACATGCTTCTGTTTGTATTCTTGTCGACTCACGGCAGGACTGGCAGTGTGGGAAAGTGGAGAATTTTCCTGTCTGTTGTGTATATTTGATTTGTTTCTTGGGTCTGGAGTCATGTATGTCACTGCTTACTGTAATCAATTGGAATTAGTAATTGAGACTTGGCTCAGAAGCAATAACCAAGTGTGAAGCTGCTCTTCATGTCAACCACTAGGTGGCAGGCATACTATTTATAACGTTTTTTTTTTTTTTTAACCAAATTTCGACAACAGGGCAATAGGGATTATGTGAATGTGCAGGACCAGTAATTTCCATGCTTTTTTGATGTTACAGGTAAATGTGTTTTTATAGTTAGAAAGTTTTTATGTGCAAATTTATTGATTAATAGAAGAACATCCTAAAAACTATATATATTTCTATCATATGGACTTAAGCGTTACTAAGAATCACAACTACACAAAGAAGTAAAGCCATGATTTAGTAATCACATTTAAATATAAGAGGTTGAACTTGTTTACTCAAATGTTTCTGGCATGTAACTAAAGAGCTAACGTCCAGGATTGTCCTATTGGAGTAGATGTGATTCAAATTAGGAAATAGCCATTTGGGATTCCTTAAAGTTCAAGATATCCCTTCTGAAGTTTTTCTTTTTTTCACTTCCAGTCATTCCTGTATTCCATTAACCAGACAATATGCTTGCGATTGGATAGCATTGAAGCCAAGCTACAAGCTCTCGAGGCTACTTGTAAATCATTAGAAGAAAAGCTGGATCTGGTCACGAACAAACAGCACAGTCCCATCCAAGTCCCCATGGTGGCGGGCTCCCCTCTCGGCGCAACACAGACATGCAACAAAGTGCGATGGTAAGAACAGACCTGTGGACTGTGGTCACTGCCTCACACAGGCTCCTCCATACAGTTATCCAAATTGTAGTACACAGGAGGGCATCTGCCTGCAGCTTCAGGGCCTATTTCACTTAGACTCAAACTAAACACGTGATACCCTGCTGCACTGGCTTCGAGTCATCTTTACAGTTTCTTTCTGACATGAACCAGATTGGTGCATCTTTCCTGTGGAATTAACCCATGAGATCTTGGAAGATGTGCATTGGTTTCTTTGTTGTTGTTGTTCTATCTGGTGAGTCCTTAGATATTTTTTCTTCGTATTAGTATTTTTAAATTTTATTTGAGTATATCAAACTTTCCATTCATGTCTGTAATTTTTTCTAAAATCCTCACTCGAGGATACTTTTTCTATTTTTTAGAGAGCGGGAGGGAGAGAGAGAGAAAGTGAGGAAGATTAATGCGGGAGAGACACATTGACTGGTTGCTTCCCACATGTGCCCTGATGGGTGCAGGGGCGGGGTGGGGGTAAGGGGGAGGTAGTACAGGGATTGAACCAAAACCCAGGTACGTGTGCTTGACTGGAAATCGGACCTGTAACCTCTCAGTGCATATGCCGACACTCCAGCCACTGAGCAATACCAGCCAGGTCATGTCTGTAGTTTTTATTGTGCCAATTAAAAAAAAAAAATTAGAGCCTTATCTTAGTTGAATGTGTGGTAGTGCATGTGCTGTTTAAATTGAAACTTTATGAAGAATTTTATTAGATTGGAAATATGTTTATATATTTGTAGACCATTGCACCTGTCTCTTACCTGAGCTCCTAAGACAAGTTAAAGCTCAGGCCCTGGGCATCAGTTCCATTAGTCCTGTTGGTATTTTTGTGCTTTCCCACTGCTGGCTACAAAGAAACCATATTCGTGATGGCGGCAAAATTTCTCTCTGTACTTGACGACAGCTTGAAGCGTTTTTTCCTGAGGACTCTTCTGTTGCATTCTCATGACTGCTGCTTCCTGCCCTGTCTCTGTGAGGAGGAAGGACAGGGGGACCTGGGGAGATGGGGTGGTGTCATGGTAGATGCAGAGGAGCAGGAATCACAGCAAGACGGAAAGACAGTAGCTGGCCTTACTGCCAGAGTAGGCTGGGTCCCAGAGTGTGCCTGTGCGCTCTGGGGACAAGAGCAGCATTAGGGACTTTGTGGACTTTTCAGGGGAATGTGGGATTGAAGAGGGGTTCCTGATTGGTTTTGGGAAGCTCACAAATGTGCCTCAGTTTCAAGGTGGCCACTTGTCCTGCTTTGTCTGGAGCAGCTGTGGATGACGCCTGCTGAGTTGGCATAACTGGTGCATCTTTTGACTCTCAGAAGTGTCCTGGGTGTTTGAGACACTGCATGGCCTCTACACCTGATCTCCAGCTGTGGGTCAGGGTCTCTGGGGATCTCCTTCCCTAGAGGAAAATGTGGGGCAGTCTGTGGTGCTGCTGTGAGACAGGGCCTTTTGCCCTGGTTTATGTTTGGTCCTAATAAATCACCCATGTGTTTACTCCCAGCAAACACTGGTTGAGCATGTCCTGTGTGCAGGAAGTGAATCTCAGCCCTATCATACCCAGTGCTTTTTTTAAGAAAATAATTTTTTAATACCCTCTTATTTTAAAATGCAGGGTTTAGAAAATATAATTTATAATTAAAATATGAATATAGTGCCTTAAGTGTAATGGAAGGAGAAAAATCACATATATTTCAATATGTAAATGGTGGGAGTTACTTCATAAGAAGGCAGTGAATAGGCCAGATGCCCAATCCACCCCTCTTGAATCCTGGTGACTCATGCTAGTTGGTGATGGGATAGTATAAAATGATGAGAAATTTTGATGAAGATTCAAATAAAGCCAAGTGTAATTTTTCTTTAGACTTAAACAATAGTTAAACTTCTGGAATATTCAAGTTTTACAACTATCCAATAATATCCTATCCAATATAAGAGTAATATACAAATTGACCATTACACACACAAGATGGCTGCCCCCATGTGGACACAGGATGGCTGCTACAAGATGACTTTTATTAGTATAGATATTTCCTATGCTGTACTTTATATCCATATGACTATATTGTAACTACCAATTGATATTTCTTTAAAAGCATAGTTTTAAAGAGGGTATGTGTGAGTGATTTTTAAAGAAGATACTACATTTGGCATTTCTCTCTAGGTAAGTTCTGAAAATGAGAAAAAAAGGCCAATAATTGAAAGCTGTTAATAAGGAATTTTGGGGAAAATTAGGATAAAAACTTAATCCCAATATATCAATTGAAAAAATATATATTTAAATTAGAAAGTTACTAATTTGTAAACACATATAAGTAAATGAGAATTGTATGTTTTAAAATGGGTAGTGGAACATATAAAAGTCTCCCAAAGCAAGTGAAAACGGTTTAACATTCTGAGAAATAAGGTACTTCTACAAATTATTTATGTTGGGCCTCAAATATTTAACATAAAGTTTTAAACTATATAAGTCCTAGATTATTTTATATCCAAATTGTATGCTTTTAAAAATTACTTAAGATTCCTTAGGTCCATTTACATTTGTTGTGAATGAATGCAGAGGCCTCTGGATTATAAGCTTTTCACTGAAATACCACTCGCTTTTCTTTGGAGGCTGCACAGGGCTCAAAGCCCAGCCCCACCTACAGGGCCTGGTGCGGCCTCTGGGTTGCGGGGCCCACCTTTGAATCTCAATTTCTCTCTCTCTCTCTCTCTCTCTCTCTCTCTCTCTCTCTCTCTCTCTCTCTCTCTCTTTCTCTTTCTCTCTCTCTCTCTCCATGTTGAAATCCACTCACCTGTTGATTATTTTTTATTAAAACTGGCCCAGACTAGATCATGGTATCAACTCTGAGAGTTATTCTCTTTAATCCCTGGAGCATAGGGGCAGTGGACTGCTGCCAACCTCACCTGGTATTTTGGGTCCAGATTTTCAGATTCTACACTGAATGAGATTCTTTAAATAAATTCAAGAAAGAAAGAAAATCTTTTTCTTTGATGCTAAAACTTAATTATTGTAGTAAAAAAATGTGAGGTTACACCCACAATGGTCTTCTAATTGAGGAATAGAAAAATAGACTTGAATTCTTCTAGGTAGGTGCTTTTTTATTTTCTCACAAGTGTGCCCATATTTAGTTTTGCTTATTGTAATGCCGAAGTAGTGAGGTTTTGTTTGCATTGGTATTGGGGAAGTCTGTATAGTAGAGTAGGCTCTTCCTTTAAATGCCCAGCTATGAGCATTCCAGGAAGGAATTCCATTTTATTATGTGGACTGAAGGGATCAAGTGTATGGACAGGGACATTTATACTATAGATAAGTGTGAAAACCCCTCTTTTGCACTTTCTTAAGATTAGACATAAAGCCATTTGAAGAAAGTGCATTAGTAGGACATAGCTGGGCTTGGTGTTGGCTTGATGTGGGTGCTGTCCTAGTTCAAGACCGAGCTGGAAAGCCAGCATGACTGCACACATGCAATGCATGGATCATGGGATAGAATACCAGCTTGTCCAGGGGGATCTTGTAGAAACAGACTGTTTGATACATCAGATAGCAACTCAAAACCCAGATGTTTGGGTTTTGTTTTCATTAACATATTGACTAACTAGAAAAATACTTATGTTTCTTATTTTTCAAGGCAATAGATTTCTATTTTGTTATTTTTTAAAAATATGTTTTTATTGATTTTAGAGAGGAAGGGAAAAGGAGAGGGGTTCGGGGAAGAGAAGAGAAGAGAAGAGAGAAACTGCTCTCTTGGATCGGTTGCCTCCTGCATTTCCTCTACTGGAGACCAAGCCACAAACTGAGCATTGTGCACTGGCTGGGAATCGAACTAGCAACTTCTTGGTGCATGGAAACCAATTGAGCCACATCAGCCAGGGGTTCCATTTTGTTATTTTTTTATAAGCACAAGTAGGCTTTTTCCTTGATTTTATTTGTTTTGGAGAGAAGAAGGGAGGGTGGAAAGAGAGACATGAACTCTTGATTGATTAGTTGCCTCCCATACATGTCCCAACCGAGAATTCAACCTGCAACTTGAGTATGTGCCCTGATCAGGAATTGAATCTGCTACCTTGCCACCTTGTGCTGTACCCGACCATGTGCTAAATGAGCCACACTGGTCAGGGCACACAAGTGATTTATTTTGATTGAGCTGAGATTGACATATCAAATTTTTATTTTTAAAAGCTTACACATGTTTTTACAGCTTAGTGTGTTTCTACAATTATAAAATAATTAAATTAGAAGCTTCTTTAAAATCCTCTGAAAGTAAAAAGGTGATATAAAAAAAAAAGCATATTTTGATTGATTTCAGAGAGGAAGAGAGAGGTAGAGATAGATAGAAATATCAATGGTGAGAGAATAATGATTGGCTGCCTCCTGCGTGCCTCATACTGGGGATCAAGCTCCCAACCTGGGCACGTGCCCTGACCAGGAATCTAACCATGACCTTCTGGTTCATAGATTGATGTTCAACCACTGAGCCATGCATGCCGGGCAAAAGTGATTTAAAGTTTTTCTTACAGAGAGATGTATCATAAGACATATAGAGGGGGGACATATTTTCTTTTCATCTGAACTGATTATTGATCCATAGCAAACAAATTATTTGATCAAGAAATTATTTAAATTATGCTGGTTGCTGATTTTCTCTTTACTTCCCAGAGGGTCTTTTGTTTTCAATTTGCTGGATATTTGTGGAAGGACTGTTTTGGTCTTTGAGCCTTTATGGCTCTGGGTTGAAAGAGACCTCTGTGCATCTCGTTCTGGCATTGGAGCACTGGCAGCGTTGGCCTGGGTCATCAGCATCCAGAGTGTTTCCATTTGGGGCATTGACCTCAGTCAAAAGTATAGCATTTCATAAGCTTTAGCATGTGACAAACTCAAGATAAGTTTGTTTGAATTGTGAGGGTATGGTGTGATCTCAGCAATGACAGACTTCTTCATTTTTGAGTATCAAATTTTGAATTAAAAATATGTTT